ATAAAATTAAGAGTGAAAAAGGAGACTTTGGGGCACCTGGGTGGCTCAGTCAGTTAAGCATCTGCTGGGCGCCTGGGTGGCTCAGTCGGTTAAGCGACTGCCTTTGGCTCAGGTCATGATCCTGGAGTTCCAGGATCGAGTCCCACATCGGGCTCCCTGCTCAGCAGGGAGTCTGCTTCTCCCTCTGATCCTCCCCCTTCTCATGTGCTCTCTCTTTCTCATTCTCTCTCTCAAATAAAATAAATTAAAAAACTCTTAAAAAAAAAAAAGCATCTGCTTTTGGCTCAGGTCCTGATCTCAGGGTCATGGGATCAAGTCCCATGTCAGTCTCCCCGCTCAGCACGGAGTCCGCTTGTTTCTCTTCCTCTCCTTCTGTTCCTCCCCCTGCTTGTGCTCTCTCTCTCAAATAAATAAATAAAATATTTTAAAAAAAGAAAACAAAAAGACATTACAACTGAGACTGCAGAAAAACGGGATTGTGAGACTAAACAATTACAAGCCAAAAACTCAGATAACTTAGAATAAACAGATCCATTCCTAGAAACAAGAAACCTACCAAACTGAAATCAGGGAGAAATAAAAAATCTGAACAGACCAATGCACTATAGAGATTGAATCAGGAATCAAAAACCTCCCAACATAGAAACCTCCCCCAGGACCAGACAGCTTCACTGGAGATTCTACCAGACAGTCAAAGAAGAATTAACACCAATTCTTCTTAAACTCTTCCAAAAAATTGAGGAGGAGGGAATACTTCCAAAATCACTTTATGAAGCTGGCATTGCCCTGGTAAAGCCAGAGAAGGACTCCACAAGAAAAGAAACCTACAGACCAATATCTCTGATGAATCCAGAGGCAAAAACTCTCAACAACATATTAGCAAACTGAATTCAAGAACACATAAAAAGGATTATACATCATGAGCAAGTAGGATTTATCCCTGGAATGCAAGGATCATTAAACATACACAAATCAATAAATGTGATACATCACATTAATAAAATGAAAGGAAAAAAATCACACAATCATCTGATTAGATGCAGAAAAAGCATTTGACAAAATATATCATTTCATAAAAACCCTCAGCAGATCGGGTATAGGAAGAACGTACCTCAATACATTAGAGACCATACGTTATGAGCCCATGGCTAACAGTATACTCGCTGGTGAAAAATTGAAAGTTTTTCCTCAAGGAGCAGGAACAAGATGTGGATGCCCACACACACCGCTCTTATTCAGTTTGATATTAGAAGTCCTTGCTGAAGCAATTAGGCAGGACAAAGAAATAACAGGCATCCAAATCAGGAAGGAAGATGTGAATCTGTCACTGTTTGCAGATAAAGTGATTCAGTATATAGAAAATCTGAAAGGCTGTTAGAGTTCAGTCAAGTTGCAGGATACAGAATCAACTTACAGAAATCATTTACATGCCTATTCATGAAGAATGAAACATCCGAAAAAGAAATGAAGAAAACTAACCTATTCACAATAGCATCAAAAACAATAAAATATTATGAATAAATTTAACCAAGGATGTGAAAGTCCTATACAGTGAACTACAAGACTTTGCTGAAAGAAATTTAAAAAAAAATGGAAAGACAAACAAATGGAAAGGCATCCTCTGCTCATGGATCAGAAGAATTTATATTGTTAAAATGTCCTTCTTGAGGAAAAAAGAACAAAGCCAGAGATATCACACTTTCTGACTTCAAACTATACTACAAAGCTTCAGTAATAAAAACAGTATGTTACTGCACAGACAGACAAAAATAGACACCATAGACCAATGGAACAGACTAGAAGGCACAGAAGTGAACCCCTGCTTATACAGTCAAAAAAATGTTCAACAAGGAAGCCAAGAACACACAATGGGGAAAGGACAGTCTTGTCAACATGTGAGGTGGGGAAAATTGGATGAGTACATGCAATGAAATTAGACCCCTAACTTACACCAGTCACAAAAATTCACTCAAATAGACTAAAGACTAAAACAGAAGGACCTGGTACTATAAAACTTCTAGAAGTAAATGTAGGGAGGAAGCTCCTTAACATTGGTTTTGGCAATGATTCCTTGAATATGACACCAGTGGCACCAAAGACAAAAGTGAAAATTAACAAATAGGGCTCCAGGAAACTTAAAACCTTCTGCACAGCAAAAGGAACCATTAACAAAATGAAAAAGCACTATATAGAATGGAAGAAATTTTTGCAAACCATACGTTGGATAAGGAGTTAATACTGGAAATATATAAAGAACTCATACAACTCAAAATCAAAAACAATCCAACTGAAAAATGGGTAGACCTAGACCTTTCTCCAAAGAACACATCCCAATGGCCAACAGACACATGAAAAGATGCTCCACATCACTCATCATCAGGGAAATGCAAATGAAAACCACAATAAGATATTGCCTCACACCTGTCAAAAGGCCTGTTATCAAGAAGGTAAGAGATAAAAATTGCTGGCAAGGGTCTAGAGAAAAGAGAACTCTTTCACACTGCTGGTGCACATGTACATTGATTCAACCACAATGGAAAACAATATGAACTCTTCTCAAAAAATTAAAAATAGACCCACCAATGATGATCCAGTGATTCAACTTCTGGGTATACACACAAAGGAAATAAAAACAGGATTTTGAAGAGAGATAGGCAATCCAGTGTTTACTGCAGCATTGTTCACAATAGCCAAAAAGTGCCCATCAACAAATGAATGGATAAAGAAGATGTGATATATAAATACAATGGAATATTATACAGCCATGAGAAAAGAGGACATCCTGTCATTTGCAACAACATGATGGACCTTGTGGAAGTTTTGCTAAGTGAAATAAGTCAGGCAGAGAAAGACAAATACTGTATGACATCATTTATATGTGTAATCTAAAAAAGCCAAACTCGCAAAAATAGAGAGCAAAATGGTGGTTACCAGGGGTTGGGGAGTGGAGAGGACAAGGCAAATGTTGCCTAAGGGTACAAATTTATAATGAATAGTGAGCACAGACAACAATATTATATTATAATCAACGAACTTGCTAGGAACCTAGAACTTATTCTAATGACTAAAAAGAATAATTATATAATATGATTAAGGTGCTAATTGTTACAATCACATTATGATACATAATGTATTCAGATACATAAATGTATCAACATGTATACCTTAAATTTACACAATGTTATATGTCAAATATATTTCAATTAAAAAAATGGATCAGGGTCAAGATCTGGGCGAGTCTATAGGGTGAATATCAAAGCAAGGCTGCACATCAGGGTCAGGGCCTGTGTCAGTTAAGGATTTGAATAAGGTGCAGTGTCGAGGTGAGGGTTAAGTGAAGTTTCATGATCAATACATGGATGGATCAGAACCATGAGGGTCAGGACCATGATCAAGTCCAGCAGAGGTTCAGTCAGATCACTGTTAGTGGAAGGGTCAAGGTCAGTGTTAGGATGAGATCAGGAAAAGGGTGAGGGTCAAATTCACATGAAGTCCAGGGTCAGGGTCAGTGCAAGAGTGAAGGTCAGAAGGGTCAGAGTCAGGTTAAGGTTGAGTTTTGTCAGCAGGGTGTGAGGGTGTCTCAGGGCCTGAATGACGATCAGTCCAATCAATCAATCCAGGGTTGTTGAGTGTTAGAATCAAGGTCAAGACCAGGGTTAAGAGTAGGCTCAGATCTGTGTGAGGGATAGTCTGGGTGATGGTTTGGTTTCGGGGTCGAGGTCAGAGTCCAGTTTATCAATAAGGGAAGATCAGGGCTAGGGTCAAATTTAGATGACTATCAATTTTATGGTCAAGGTCATGATAAGAGTCTGGGTGAGGATTATGGTCAGAGTCAAAGCAAGCCTCAGGGTTAGAGTTAGGATAAGGTCACAGTCAGGGTCGTGGTAAGGGTCAGATAGCATTAGGATATTTTCAGAGTGAAGTTCTGACTGAGAATCAGGGTTTTGTGAGGGATGTAGTCAACGTCAGTGTCAGAGTCAGACATGATCAGGGGAGGGTCCAGGTGAGACCCTCAGGTAAGAGTGAGGTTGAGTGAAGGTCAAGTTGTGGATAGGATTAGGGACAGCTTAACTGTTAAGAGTGAGGGTAGAGCTTAGGGAATCAGAGTCAGGGTAATAAGTCAAGGTCAGGGTTGGGATCAGGGTGTGTGAGGTTGAGGTTCAGGGTTAAGCGTAACAGGGTCATGGTCAAGGTGAGGGTCAAGGTCAGTGTCACAGTGAAGTTGCTCAGCAATCCCTTCCCCACCACCCAGCACCATGTGCAGCTTTTGCAGATGCCACCTCCTGAAACGCTCTCCTGCACTGAGCTCACCTTCTTGGGAGTCCTCAGTGCTGCCTAACCCTCCCTGCAGACCTCCACAGGGATACAGGTGTCATGAAGGCAGGGATCCTGGAGCAGAATGTTTTGTCCATTGATGGATTCCAAGCACTCAGAAGAATCTGTGGCCTACAGCAGGTGCTCAATTGAAAGCTTATTTAATAAGCAACGAGTATCCATTAAGGTATTTCTGGAGGGAAAAGGTACATCTGGAAATCAAATAAACTGTTCACAATAGTTCTCTCTGTGTAAGAATTACAAGTAACTTTCATGGTTGACTTGACACGTGTCCATATTGTTTCAAATTTTAAAAATTTAATGTTTATTTATAATGACTAAAAGTGGATTTTTCCACTTTGAGAGAAAACAAAGAGCTCCAGATAAAGTTCCTGGTAAAGTGACAAGAGACTCGCACTGTAGCTATTACCCAAGCCTCAAACAACTGGCAGCCTTTGGGGGAGGCTTGGAGCATCCTCAAAGAAACCCTACTCGAGTTCTCTTCTCTAAGGAGGAAAGACAAACCAAGAGGCAAGACAACACAGAAGGTCTATTTATTCAACAGCAGCTTTGAAAAGGAATCCTCGAGACAGTGAGGGGACGTAGTTCCCCATTTCTACCTCACTCCTTTCCCATATGGTTCTGTCCTTCACAGGCTAGAGCCTGATGCAGAAAAGGTGACTGCCTTAGATGTACTTATATACGACCTTGGAGGGCACAGTCTGGAGGTGCAGACGGACGGGACATTTGTAAAAGTGGGACAGCAGAGTCTCACTATAGCCCACCAGGAAGTAGAAGTTGTGTGCAGGCAGCTGCCTCAAGACCAGGACACAGATCTCCAACTGGTTAGCCCAGCGCTTTAGGATCAGCTGGTCGACCAGACACCCTGGGAATGCCCAGCATGAACTTTCAGAGGAAAAAATCCTCTACTGTTTACTCTGCAGCATGGTTCTCCCCATCCAGGTTACCTGAAAGGAACAGGGCACCTCGAAGACCCAGCAGAAACTCCAGAGGTAATATCCAAGAGCACTGGGCACTCAATTCCACCCCCACCATGGTTTCTTCCCTCTTCTTCTGTAAGTGGAATAAAAATAATAACACTTTAAAGTTCAAAGTGCATTATTTCATTACATTCACAAATAAATCCTGTTAAGTAGGTATTTTGGTTATCCTTGTTTTGCAAAGGGAAGACTGAGGCCTTAGCAGGGCATAAAACTCAGATGATCTTCTCCTGTCTAGCCCTTTCCCACTCTTTCTGGACATTTATAGAAGCACTGGCCATCCCTTGGCCCAGAGAGATGAGGCCACCAGCTACTTCTGAGACTGGGGACATGAGCTCTCTCACCATCCAGGGCCATGGCCTCAACCAGTGGATTCTCAGTGTAGATCCAGAAACTCCTACACCTCCAACAGTATGCCTCAAGAGTCTCCACAGCCAGCCCCAGACCTCCACACCCATCCCCAGATCCCCAGATCCTGAAACTCCTAAACCTCCTACAGTGTTCCTGAAGTCTCCACACCCATTCCCAGACCTCCACACTCAGCCCCAGGTCCCCATATCCTAAAACTCCTAAACCTCCTATAGTGTGCCTGAAGAGTCTCTGCACCCATTCCCAGACCTCCACACCCAGCCCCAGACTGCCACACCCAGCCCCAGACCTTAGAAACAGAACCTGAGGGGCACCCGTGTGGCTCAGTCGTTAAGCGTCTGCCTTTGGCTCAGGTCATGGTTCCGGGGTCCTGGGATCAAGCCCCACATCGGGCTCCCTGCTTGGTGGGAAGCCAGCTTCTCCCTCTCCCACTCCCCTGGCTTGTGTTCCCTCTCCCACTGTGTCTCTCTCTGTCAAATAAATAAACAAAATCTTTAAAAAAAAAAAAAAAAGAAACAAACAAACAGAACCTGAAAAGGGAGGGGGACAGGAATCTGTATTTTAAGTTTTCTAGACAGACGACTCAAGTTGAGAAGGCTCATACTGAACAAAACACAGCTGATTCTCCTTAGCTCCCAGTAGTTATGTTCTATAAAGTTACCATGAGCAATGAGTTAGGGAACACTGAACCCTCGCTCCTAGGGGAAACACAGAGTTAAGTTCCTGCATGCCCTGGGTTAAGATAGTTTGATCAACACATCAATATATAACCTTGTTTCATGTGTGTTTCTGCTTAAAGACCCCTTGTTTAATACACATGACTGATTAACACTGAACTCTCTGCTAACAGCATCATAACTCGTGCATGAAGGAAGCTTACCTAACATGCATATTTTCTCCCCAGTGTACATCACACCCTTCTTGTGCTTTGCACTTCAGCATTAAGGCTATTTTAAGGCATTGAAATCACCCACAAAAAGCACAAAACCGTAAACATGGGGCACTAATGGATCTCGAAAAGAACTCTTGTTTACAGCATGAGCGGAAACAAGAAGGCAGCGCCCTCAGTAGGGAAGGTGTGTGCAGGGTGCCTGCTCGGCCCACGTCCCATAGTGATTCGGGAATACGAAATCTGAAAATGAAAACCTCTGAATGAGGAGTTGAATCAAGCCTCTCGCACTTGTTTATCTGGTGTTTGTGTGATAGACATGACCGAGAACTTCCTCCCTGGGGCCCTCAGCACCACGGCCCCTCACCTGCGTGCAGCGACAGCCAGCCCTTGCAGTGGGCGGTGTAATGCGGTACTTGCACCTCCTCGTAGGTCACCAGCTTGTCCCCCTTGCCCACTCTGACTCGGGCCACCCGATTCTAGGTGCACAGAGGGGCAGTGACTGCCCACTCATGGACCCAAGCCTTGGTCCCCCTCCCCCACACCCCCGGCCCCTGCACCCCTCCGCCTGGGGTCCTTCATACCCATCTGAGGGGTCCCAGCCCCTCCACCCTTGGATCCTCCACCACCATCCACCCCATCCCTCCAGCCCCTGGCCCCCAGGGCCCCTGGTTCCCTGACCCCAAAGCCCAGGCCCCACTGCCCCCAGGCCTCGGATCACCAGCCCCTTTGCCCCATTTCCTGCACTCCCACCCCACTAGCCCGGCCCCTCCACCGCAGGGGCCCTGACCACCAGCCCAATCCAGGCCACTGCTACCCCAACCCCTGCGTCCCCGACCCCAGTCCCTCACCACCCCTTCCACCGCCCCTGCCTTCCCCCAGACGCTCTGCTCCCAGGATCCCCCGCCACACACCTGGCCCTCAGATCCCCTGTCACTCCACCCCACACATTGGCCACCAAAAACTAGAACAACATCTAACCCACACATTCAGCAGCCCCCTAGACACAACCCCAACCCTCACCCTCACCCTAACCCTCGCACTAAACTCAGCCCTCCGTGAAGGTCGCCACAAGGCCAGCAGTTTGGACCTTCCATTCTCCTGGACCCTAACCCTAACCCTAGGTTGAGTTTTGACACCACCTGCCCCAAAAACCTGGCTCCAAAGATTAAGGAATTTAGGACACCTGAGCAATACCAGAGGACTCAGCCTGCCACACAGAAGGCAACCATGCCATTTAGAACTCCAGAAAGGATTTAGAGCAGGAGAAACCTGCATGCGCACTGGAGCTCATCCTAGAGAATCCACACTTTCAGCAGCCCCCTGGACCCAAACCCTGAGCCTGACCCTCATCCTAACCCACACCATCAACTCAGCCCTCTGGGGAGCTCTCCACACAGCCGGCAGACCAGACCTGCCATGCTCCTAAGCCCTAACCCTAGGTTGGGTTCTAAGAGGTCAATCCCCAGAGGCCTGGCTCCAAAGCCCCAGGGATTGGGGACACCTGAGCAATACCTGAGGACTCAGCCTGCAGCACAAAAGGAAACTGTGCCACATTTGGAACTCCAGAAAGGATTCAGAGCAGGAGAAATCTGAATGCCCACTGGAGCCAATCCCAGAGAACCCCCACTTTCAGTGGCCCCCTGGACCCAAACCCTGAACCTAACACTCCCTAACCCACACCCTCAACTCAGCCCTTCAGGAAGCTCGCCACACAGCTGGCGGATCGGGCCTGCCATGCCCCTAGGCCCTAACCCTAACCCTAGCTCAGGTACTGAGAAGTCCATCCCCAAAGGCCTGGTTCCCAATCCCCTGGGATTGGGGACACCTGAGCCCTACCGCAGGACTCAGCCTGCCACCCAGAAGGAAATGCTGCCATTTGGGCCTCCAGAAAGGATGCAGAGCAGGAGAAATCGGAAGGCAAACCGGGCCAATCCCAGCAAACCCACACTTTCAGCCACCCACTGAACACGAACTCTGAGCCTGACACTCACCTTGTCCCTAAACTAAGCCTAATCCTAAACCCTAAACCGTAACCTTGGCTCCTAACCTCTAATGCCTGACCTTCACCCTAACCAGAAGAAGGAAACTGGAGAATGGTAAAAGACATTTCAGACGGTCGGGCAGGTGGACACAGTTGAAGTGGGTCTGTGGTCATTATTATAATGTGGAAACTGTAATGATCCATTTCGGGTTATGTGGTCATCTCAGAACAGTGTCCCTGTTCGGGGTAAAAGGCACTGAAGTGTTCCATGTGAAGTGGCAAACGTGGTAAGGAAATGACAGCTGGGGCCTGAGTGGTGGAGATAAAGCGTATTTGCGCTGCGGTGACAGGTTGACCGCACTC